AACCTTACTTTTTCTCGCTAATCTGACTTTTATCTTGTGTGAATATGTAGTAAATACGGGTATGGTAAAAAAACGATATGAGAATTTTACGGATATAATACGGTAAACAGTGAAAAATACGTTTATAAAAATTCGGCCATAAAATTCGGATACGGAAAAAATACGGTATGGGTATATACGGGTTTAATACGATGCATTGTCAATAATATGTTTTGAAAAATATGACAATATCAATCTTAGTTTTAATACTTTTATGGATTACTTGGCTAAAATCAATATAGTATTTCAAATGCAAAGTATTCAATTAACCAATAACACAAATATACAATATATAACTGATATTCAAATTATAGTCTCCAAACTCAAACATAATATTTAACCATGATTCTTTACTAATTTAAAACTTGATAAGTTTGATATTAAATGCAACCAATTTTAACTTCCCATTAATCCATTAAATTATTTAAATCAAAAACTAAAATTTTGTCTCACAAATTTATATAAAAGATTAGTGTTACAATAGACTAACTACTATTTTATACCTATAATATATGATAGTTTTTTTTTTCACAATAAATTATTATTTTAATATCATTAATCCAATCTAATTTATTAGATAACACGAAAATAATTTAAAAATATGAAATGATTTTGTATGTGTTTTAAGTTTAAAATGTAAAGGTGCGGGGGAATGGACGGGAAAATGGATGTCATTTTGAGTTTTGAACTTTTTGAGAGGGTTATTTTATTCCCCCCCTTTTCCAATCTCTTCTCTTACGCCTTATCCACTGATTTCTTCTTCCCCCACTAAAACAACGTCGTTTCAATTAGTTTTTTTTTTTTTTTTTTTGTAATAATTCGTGAATAATTTGGCAGTCCTTTGTAAAATATGTAAATACGTGTTTTATATGTAATTTATATAGCTGACTGTATAATTTATATTTTAATCGTATAATTTGTGTATAAAACACGTATTTTCAAACTACTTTGCTGATTGAATCCTCCCTTTGAAATGAAAATGGTTACCGTTTTTATATTTTCGTCGAGTTGGTAATTAATAATTTAATAGAGGCCCTTTTAATCTGGATTTGTGTCAGGTGTGTGATGCCTAGGACAATTAATCAAACAAATAATGTTATGCTTACTCACAATCTTACTAACCATCTTACAATCCTGAAAATATAATGGTATAGTATGGGTACCATATGCATAGTATTTATACTATGCCGTTATATTTATCAGGATAATAAGATGGTTAGTAAGATTGTGAGTAAGTATAGTTTTATTGTTAATCAAATACCATACTTGGATCAGTCAATCTGGATAGAGAAGTTTGTGGTTACGGTGGTGCCACATGGGTGGATCCTGGCTGTTGGATTTGAGAGTAGTTGGTGGACAGATGGCATGCATCCAAGGGCTAAGAGATTCACCGCACGGCATTAAGTTTGGTATATCGACTTAAATTGCAGAAAATTTACTCTTGGAGTTTATTATACTTGGAGTTGGAGACATAATAGAGTCAACTGATCCCATAATTCCAACGTACGACATATTTACTTTTACAAAAACTCTTTCGACTGTATTTTTACAATATAACAAAACATTTTTTTCTAATTAATTCTCCTGTTAAATTTCATATATAATTGTAACACAAAAATAAAACAAAAAGTTGTATATGAAGCATTGCGGCTTTAAGAGTTTTACATGGAATTTTTAAAGAGATTGGATACTTTTTAAATAAAATATAATAAATTTATCAATCAATTTTGTCAATGAATTTTATTAAATGTGCCACGAAATGGTTTGTCTAATTTAACCCCAAAAAAAAAGAAACAAAAAAACTACCAACACATGCCTTTTTTATTGCTTAACAAAGGAGACACGTACATATAGATATGGTAATTAATATTACATATATTGTAAAAAACACACTCACAGACACAGGGATTAACCTCTTATTTTTATTACTTAACAATGAACTCCCTGGAATTCAAACCTCTATTATTATTCGTCACTAACATGAGCCAGAAAAAGAGAGAACACTTTGTTTTCATTATTGAGAAGGCTTCAGAATGTGCTCATTTACGGAACTCCAAAACCGAGCTATTGTATACAGGGCATATGACTTCACACTTGGAAAATCCGGATTTCAGAGCTAATACCTCAAACTCTTTAAGTGTCCTCTCTCTTCCTCCTGGGTGCACAACCATCATTAACAGATCTAGCTCACACGCAATGTTTGATGAAACAGTATTTTCAGGAATCTCAGGAACTATCAATTCTGTAATGATTACTTTCCCAGACTTTGGAAGAGCTTCAAAACATTTTTTGAGAATTTTCACGCAATCTTCATCACCCCAATCATGTAGAACCGTCTGCAATTAAGTTTCATATATATATATATATAAACAAATTAAAGCAACTATACACTCGCGTATGTGTGAAGAATAAACTATTTACGCACGTACCTTCAAGAAAATGGCGTCGCCTTTTGGAACTTTTTTGAACATATCTCCACCAACATGCTCAACACCTACATCCATCACCAAAACATCATTCTGATAAGCAAATAAATAAAGCTTTTGAGTCGTTCCATCTTAGTTGATCTAGCAATGATATGATGAAAAATTTGAAGGTAGTTACATTTGATATCAATTCAACATTTTTCATCGTTGATGAATCAACAAAGATGAATAGTTCACTAGAAAGTCAAAAAATAACTTACGTAGCAATATCCTGACCCATAAATAAATATAAGAAATGCAGTTATACAAGTAGGATTACGAAGATATATACCTGTTATCGGAGGTGCATGAGCTACGACATGAGGCAAATCAAAATTAACGCCTTTAATGTGAGGATACTTAGAAGTGATGGTACCAAGATTAGCTCCAACTCCACCACCCACATCTACTAACACTTTGAGGCCTTCATTTTGAAATCCTTTGTAAACATCAACCATCTTCTTCATGATCAAGGTTGTGTTGTCTGACATTGCTTTGTTGAATAACTGGCCATGGTTTGGGTCCTTTTCTATATATTCAAATGCAGATCTCAGTCCATATGCCCTACTGAAGGGGGTTCCACCTTCTAGGATACTATCACTTAGGTGATGCCTGACAACAAATTAAATTGCAGAAAATTTAACTCAACTCTCAAACAAAACGTACAATAATTAAATTCTAGATCTCAAAAGTGAAAAGTACCAGCCCTCCATGGTGACCTTGTCGTGTTGCAACTGCAACAAACTAGCAACCGACCCTCCATCTTCATTCTTAACAAAGAACTTGCAAATGGGTGCAGCAGCGTACAATCTTTCAACTTGTCCATTCTCTCCGGTTCTAACCTTGCATTTGACTATGTCATGGCTGGCCAAGAGCCGTAGCATGCGATCAAGCAAGACGGGTGCCTCGGGGTTCTTGGTGGGAAGCCTACTTGCAATGTCGGAACGTGAGAGGAAAACGCCGTCACCGGAGCCGGAGATTATGTCTATGAGGTTGAGCTCGATGGCTGACTTCATGACCATGGGAAGAACCGCGGCGTTTGCTAACCTGATGGCTAGCTTGTCCAGTTCTTGTCCTTGCGACATGGCCTTTATAAGTTTGAAGATAAATTGAAATCTCTGCACTTACTTATTTTTTCCACTTCACATTGTAAATTAACATCGATCTAAGTTGATATTTATAGTACATGCATGCAAACATCATAGGCAATTTATTCAATAAACCAAATAACACGTCGTTGAATTTAATATTTCTATTTTGAAATCTTTTATAGTCTGAACTTAGATGCAGCAAGAATCTATTGTCTACATAGACTAATTTACAAGCATTGAAGATCCTATCGAGACAAATCAATACACAGTGCGTCACATGATTTAACTATTCAAAAGATAGAAAGCGAAGAAAAAAGAAATTTGGAAAGTAATAACGCAAGCCTCCACATCATCAAGACAGACTTTGTCATGCCCTTTCGGCTTCTGTAAGAGTTACACCCCTTAATATTCTTCAGCCCGCCTGGATTTATATTTGGGCTATATTTGGGCTTCCACATCTTTGACATGTTCACAAGATATTCCATCTTTCACCCAACACACATCATGTCGTACACTCAACTTTTTTTTCAAATTTAGTCCAATTAACTTTTTTTTCTCACTTGAGAATTCTATCCTGTAATTTCCTCTCCGGACCATTAAAACTCTATTCCTCTCACCTACACCATTGACAACCTCTCACTTCATACCATTGACAATCTAATCTCCCAACTCTTTCCTTCAGTCATCTCACGTCATTAAGATCCCTTAGTTTCTCTTGTGTACTATGCTAAAAAAGTAGTAATAATAGAGAATTTTGGTGGATTTGTGAGGGACCGGAAAGGTGATGATCTAAGAATTATATATCCTCTCTCTACTGAATAGCTCGTAGTTCGTGTGATTGTTAAGTGAGTTTGTGTTTGCTTCTGAGAAGCGACATGTTTAGTTGATGGTTTAAAGGGAATTTTAATATGTTCCATGTTTAGTACCTTACAAGAAATAAATATAAGGTTACTGCTTCATTCTCCAAGCGCGTCGCCTGTAAGGTTTTATTTAATGAAACAAAACAGAATTTTTAAAATGAACACCTGGAATTCTAACATCACACACTTCACAGTGACCTTTATTGCTGATCACCAACGTGAGCCAGAAAAAGAAATAACACAAGGTACTGAAGGCTGGGACTTGTGTTCATTACCTAGAACGTTTGGAAATCTTCTCATTTGTTGAACTTCAAAACCCATACAGCTGCTGTATACGGAGCATATGACTTCACAGCTGGAAAATCCGGATTTTATGATCAGGATTGTGGAGTTTTATGTAGCCTGATTGAACACCCGGTTGAACCTTTGATCTGTTTCCGGATATTCAAATCCCTGTTGAACGCAATTCCTAAACATTAAGCAATTAAATAACTGTGCTAAACCCTGGTTAAGTTATAGAATTAGTGCTGGATTAGGGCCACTGCTTGTTACAACGTTTCATTATTTTATTTCATCCAGTAAAGCAGAATTACTACAATGAACTCCAGGTTTCTTCTCTACGTACTCCAAATTATCAAAAATTTAACACAATGAAAGTAGCTTCTTGATCACCAACATGAGCCACACTGAGTAATAACACATGGTACTGAAGACTGGGCTTTCCGTTCAGCATTAGGAAGCTTTAAGTATCAGCTTTTGCGGAATTCCATAACCCAGCTGTTGTATGCATTACATATGACTTCACACCCAGAAAATCCAGATTTCACAGCTAATGCCTCAAACTCCTTTTGAGTCCTCTCTTTTCCTCCTGGGTTCTGAGCCAGCATTAAAAGATCTTGCTCAAACACAATATGCGATGACACATTATTCATAGGAATCACAGGAAGAATCGATTCCACAATGATCACTTTGCCAGAGTTTGGAAGAGCTTCACAACAATTCTTGAGAAGTTTCAAGCAATGTTCATCACTCCAGCCATGTAGTATCCACTGCGAATTTCAAATCATTATATGAAGAAAGAACAAGGTGTGATGATAAAAAACTGGAAAGAAATTTCCATCTTAGCAAATTAATAGGAGTACTCAAGGACAAAAGCTTACCTTCATGAAAATGGCATCCCCTTTTGGAACACTCACAAACATATCTCCACCCACATGCTTTACACCTGTACCACAACACAAACCTTTCAGTTCGTCATAGCATTTCTTCTCTGCTGAATTACATATGGTTTTTGTTGCATCAATTTACAAAACACAAACATCAAGATAATTCTTGCATTAGCATTGACAACTAGATTGTAATCAGACTGATGCCATATTGCATACCATCTCCTTATTGATGCATTTCAAAAGACCCTGTTTTATTCAAAGATGTAGACTATAGCTAAAATCAGTAGTGAGCAAATAAAATATTCAATTTGGTACCTGGATACGAAGGTGCATCAGCTAAAACATGAGGCAAATCAAAATTAATGCCTTCAATGTGAGGATACTTAGAAGTGATGATATCAAGAGTAACACCAATTCCACCGCCAACATCAACCAACACTTTCAACCCTTCAAATCCTTTGTAAACATCAAGAACTTTCTTCATAATCAAGGTAGTGTGGTTGGACATAGCCTGATTGAACACCCGGTTGAACCTTTGATCCGTCCCCGGGTATTCAAATGCCGTCATCCCATATGCCCTGTTGAACGGGATTCCACCTTCTAATACAACATCATTCAAGTGATACCTGATAACCAAATAAAATCAATAGCCTGCCCTGAATTCGTAACTACATATGAAATTAAAAGCCTTTCTAAATTATAATTAATCATTTGAAATTGGTCTTCAATAGATAGAGTCAATAAATGAATTTTAAGAAAAAGATATTAAAACTGCTACAAAGACTGTGTTTTGTTGTTAGTCATGTAATTATTAATAATTTGTTTAATAGGAACTATCAGCACATTTTGTTGCACATAAGAGAACTAGTGGAGGTGTCAATTTTAGTAATCTAATTATTTATATGCATAAATGCTAAAGCTTCATCCAAATGTGTAACTCTAGTTGGAATTGGTGACCACTTCATCAATAAGGAGTTAGTCTATAAGGGGCGGCACACATGAGGTCATAAACACATTATTCTTGTATGATTGATATAAGAATTCGTAGCATACATTCATTGTACCCGGAGATGTGAGAAAAAATTGCAATAAAATTGACTTTGGACGTAAACCCATTTTTTTTCCAAATACTTTCTAGATTGTTTCAGCTTTAACAATTTTGAGCAAATAAATAATAATTTGAAAAAAGAATGTACCAGCTCTCATTGAAGATCTTGTCATGGTGTAACAAGAACAAAGGAGCAACAGAGCCTCCATCTTGATTTTTAACAAGGAATTTGCAAATGGGTGCGGCACCGTAGACTCTCTCAACTTCTCCCTCCTCTCCCGTTCTGACGGAGCACTTTAGTATATCGTAGCTCGCCAAGAGCCGTAGCATACGGTCGAGCAAGACGGGCGCGTCAGGGTTCTTGGTGACAATCCTGGTGGCGATCTCCGAAGTTGAGAGGAAGGCGTCGTCCGCAGAGGCAGAGATGATGTCTAGGAGGTTGAGCTCGAGGGCTGATTTGAGGACCATCGGAAGAATCACGGCGTTGGCTAACCTGATGGCTAGCTTGCCCACTTCTTCTTCCTCTCGAGGTTGCGACATGTCGTTTTAGTGCTAAGAGCGGAAGGGAATTTTGAGTGAATACTGAATAGTGATCATCAGTGAGCGAGCGAGCGCGATTTTAGTAAAGGAATCGTGTCCTCGTTGGCAGTCTGCAGTCTGCACCAAAGAGTCTTTAGAAAATCACAAGCACACGCACACCTAACAGGGTCAACATAATAGCAAATTCCAATGCATTTTATTTCTTTAATATCCTTTTTCTTATTATATCGTCCCTCTCCTATTTTATCGTTTACGTTGGGGGAGGATCATGTTTGTTTTCACTTTTTAGTCTTCCGAACTCGGAGTTACTGCTGTTATAAATTTCAGCTTCCAAATTCCAATGCATTTTATCTTAGGCTGCGTGTGGTATACCTTTTTAAATAGGATTAGTAAAAGAGTAACGTGATATTCGTTTGCTATAATATAACGTGATAGTTTATAATTAGTCGATTATAATTTATTAGGTAAGATTCATTATAAATTGATTAATTATAATTTATTACATCAGGATTATAAAAAGTAGTTTGTAATAAAAAGTTGTGAATATAGCATTTTTCTTCGTAAAATCTTACTCTTAATACATTTTAGGATAAGATTCTAATAATGTATTTAGTATATTATTAAAAAATATTTTTTAAAAATATTTAGATTATATTTTAACCTCTTATATTTATTAATTTAATTAAACAACCGCCTATAATAAAAGTTTATAATTAAATGATGTCAAACTTAGTTTCCCTATAACTTTAATATCTTCTCACTAAGTTTAGTATGGGCTTAAAGTTAAAGTATCTCAAAAATATGTTAGGCATAAATTTCTAAAGGCCTTAAAAACTGGACCGATCACTGTAATGATACAACCACTCCCTTCAAGTATGAGCTCCCCAGATATTAAGGATTTTTGGGTCATTTGTCTAATTTTATTTATACCATAGTTTTATTAATTATCAATTACGTTATTGCATTTATTTGCAATATGTTTATTTATCGAAACTACCATCTCTATAATCCCAAGAGATTGGCATGACGATAAAGAATGTTTGTTCACTTTAATTCATTGAAGGCTTATAAGATTAATAAACTCCGAAGATTAGTCAAAATGTGTGTAAACTGACCCAATCATCAAAAAAAAAAAACGACTATCATCTCCATTACTCTATATCTGGCAGAAAATGGGCAAACTTAGCACCTATTTGGGGCCGTTTGGATGGGTTAATATTAGATAACTGAGATAATACTTTTTAAATTGAGTAGATGACGATGTTTGGTTGGTTTGTAAAAAATTATTCTTATAATGATTTAGGAGGTATATTGTCGGGAATCTTAATACCTTTTGAGAGGGGGGGGGGGGGGGGGCTGTTTTAAAACTTATCCTTGGGAATACAATTTTGTTTCCCATGTTGCCCCTAAACAGTTGAGCATTTGGTCCAAATTAGCCTTATATTTGTTAACATTTACAAAACACCTAATTCACTCATACAGACACTTTTGTCCTCGCTTTTTAAATTTTTTGAACAACATTATCTTTGTTATTGTCATTATTTACAAAAATGTCATTATACTCAGAACTAGCCACCACCGCCAGCCACCATCAACTGCCACCAGAGGTTTCCAAAAGTGGCCATAATGGCGTACAACAAACCGTGTGCCGATGAGGCTTTTTCCAACCATGGATCGGTGAGGCCATATTTGGCCGTTTCACTGCCAAAGATGTAGTTGTGAAACGGCCACATATCTGGCCATGAAAAGTCGGGGGTTAAAAATAATACTAAAAAATATTGTCTTATTAATATTAAAAAAAGAGGATAATTTAGTAATCAATATAGCATACCAACGTATTTATCCTCCCAATCAAACATATAATTTACTAATTTATTCGAACCAATCAAATATATTTTCTAAATATTCTCAATAATCTTCAAAGTAATTTTTTATTCTATTAATATAATATTTTTTTATAATAAAACATTATATGATACAAACATTCATTCGAAATAAACAATATAACGTAGAGTGCCCGTTAAGTTATTCCACTGAAGTCCATGTGTAATGTGTCCAGTGCCCTTGAATTATTGGTCAATAGTGGGCCAAGGGCCCAATTTTATTAAGAAAGTAAGAATCCACTTTCAAATCACCACCATCCTTTCTGTAAACATGTGGGATTCCCAAATCAAAAAGAGTAGTATTTCATTACTTTTTAATTCTTAATGGATATATCCTCACAAAGACAAAGTCAAACACTAATGACTAAACCAAGGTAAATAAACAGTCGAATGACGAGAGTTTGAGAGATAAAGATAATGCTTCATGGATACTGTTTTGGCAGTTGGATGTCAGGTGTTTAATAGTGAGAGTTGATGTGATGATACATAAATGAATTACTAGTGTGGCTGTCTGTTTCTCACTTTTACAGATTTTTGTTGTTGTAACAGTATTATTCACCCACTGGAAAAAAAAAAAAAAAAAAAGACATTTTGTTTTTTTTTTTTTTTTCTCTTTCTTTTATTTTTGGGTTTTAGGATTTTGGATAATCCTCCGGATGAGCGAAACCCAAGCCCAACATCTCTTCCTCTCACCTATGCGCCATTAACAACCTCTCACTTCATGCCATTAACAATCTAATCTCCCAACTCTTTCCTTCTCTCATCTCACGACTCACATCATTAAGATCCCTTAGTTTCTCTTGTGTGTTTTCTCTACAATTTTGATATGCCAAAAAAAGTAATAATGATATAGAATTTTGGTGGATTTGTGAGGGACCGAAGAGGTGATGATCTAACAATTATATATATACATACATACACATCCTCCCTTTACGAAATAGCTCGTAATTCGTGTGATTGTTAAGTGAGTTTGTGTTTGCTTGATTGCTTATGAGAAGGGACATGTTTAGTTGATGGTTTAAAGGGAATTTTAAGATGTTCCATCTTCTAGATTTGGTCGCACTCAATTTCATTGATGATTATTGATTTGCTTTTTGTATGGAATAAAAACTTTTCTTTCAATTTCTCTTTTTTCTTTTTTTAATTTAATTCTGTTTTTTCTTTTGAATCAATTCAAGTTCTGGAAATTAGGGAATAGTAAGAATTAAAGATAGTTCTAAAAGATTTTATTGGGATATGTATTAAGGAATGGGATGATTTAGATCATTGGCTAACAAATAGCATCGCTCACGACTTCATTTTCCAAGTCACTGCTAGGTAGGTTTTATACCATTATTTCATGTATTAAACTAAAATCCATATTGTTTCACCTGGGACTCAAATTCACAATAATTAACACAATCAAAATCAACTCAATGACCAGCAAAGATCAATAACACAGGGTGCTTAACGCTTTAAAGACTTAAATCTGCTATTTTGTGGAACATCATAACCCGACAGTCGTATGTACAGCATATGACTTTGCATTCGGAAAATCTGGATTTCACTGCTAAACCCTCAAACTCCTTCAGCATCCTCTCTTTTCCTCCTAAGACAGCAGCCAACATAAGGAGATCTAGATCGTAGGTAATTTTGATGAAAGATTATTATCAGGAGTCTCAGGAAGAATAAATTCCACAATGATTACTTTGCCAGAGTTTGAAAGAGGTTCCCAACAATTCTTCAGGATTTTCAAGCAATGTTCATCGCTCCAGTCATGTAGTATCTAGTATCCACTACACATTATGAAGAAAAAAATGAAGGAAGGTTTTAAGTACATAATACGAAGAGAAAAGAAGATATTCACTATGAAGTTTGAGGCGCTCTATACATATTATGATACTGACTTCCTTTTTGTTAAAGATCGAATTGGTCAAACAACTCTATAAAAATATTAACCAATCAAAATATACCAGAAATGGGGGAGCTAATTACCTTCATAAAAATGGCATCCCCTCCTTTCGGAACACTCAGAAACATATCTCCTCTCAAAGGCTCTACACCTGCATCACCACAAGCCTTTCGGTCAAGTCACTGACTCATAACATCAATTTATCTACGTTAATGAATTTATGGCGGCATTGATCACATATTTAATTATTGTTATGGTCTCTTACCTGGATATGAAGCGGCATCAGCTATAACATGAGACAAATCAAAATTAATACCTTTAATATGAGAATTTTTGGAAGTGATAATACCAAGATTAATACCATTTCCACCACGCCCACTGTAGGAATTTACTGGAAGGGGTATTTATGTAATTCCATAGTTATCAGTTTTAACACACGTTTTAGCTAGTTTGTTAAGTTGTTAATTAGTCAGGTTTAATTAGTTGGATTAGTTGCTTAAGTAGTTAGTAAGTCAGTAATTAGTTAGAACTCCAACGATAGTTCAGTTCTGAAAGAAATGGAGTTGAACAGTGGAAAGAATTCCATGATGCTGCAAAATTCGGATCATCCAGGCATGCAACTGGTGAACTTTCTTCTTACAGGTAACGAAAACTATCTAGCATGGAGTAGATCAGTTTTAATTGCATTACGTGCAAAACAGAAGTTAGGGTTTATTAATGGGAAAATTTCTAGGCCAGAACAAGATTCAGATAGTTTTGAACTTTGGACAAGGGTTGATTGCATGATTAGGTCATGGTTATTGAACTCTGTTTCAAGTGACATAGTAGGAGCTTTTCTTTATGCATCTACTGCTGAAGAATTATGGAGTGAACTTAAGGAACATTATGGTGAAAGCAATGGACCTTTGATCTATCAAATTCAGAGGGAAATTGCTTCAGTGTCACAAGGAAATGAGACAATTTCGAAAGTATTATACAAAATTAAAAAAACTTGGGATGAGTTGAATTTCATTTTGCCTGTTCCTGATTATAGTTGTGGATCAGGAAAAAGATGAATGATATTAATTCTCTGAATCGTTTGATGCAATTTTAATGGGGCTTAATGATTCCTATAATCAGTTAAGGAGCCAAATTTAGTACTTGAACCATTACCTACTGTTAATAAGGCTTATTATGGCTTTAAGTTGAAACCAAAGGGAGGTTCTCAATTTTCAGAATCAAGTAATGTCTCTGCCATGTTTGCTAAGGCACAGATGAATCAAGGGAATAATTCAGCAAAGAGTATGGAAATAGTGGTAGTAACTAGTGGGGGAAATAAGAATAAACAGGAAAATAGGAGAGAAATGCTGATAAGCACTATGATTTTTGAACCAAAATGGACACACAAGAGAATTTTGTTTCA